AAGAACAGTAGAACACTGCTCAAGGTGAGCTAAAGTAATGTTTCATTTGGTACAATCATAATATTTTTATACAGCAATTAATAAAATAAATTTGAGAATATAATATAATATACATTATTGTGCAACAAATAAAATAGCAATCGTTGAATGATATAAAGAATGTTGAGATACAGGACTAATAATCGAGTCAAGTTTGTCGAACTTATTTTTTTTAAATTAATTTAAAAAAATATTTAAACTCGACTCATTTAAAAAATGTGTCGAGTCTGAGTTGAGTCTAAAACGAGTCAAATCTGAATAACTCAACTATTTAAAAAATAAAAGAATCGAGTATTTTAGACACGTTTTTTAAACGAGTTTAAAAAATTATTCAAACTCGAATAATTCAACTTAATATTTGGCTCTACTTCTCGACTTAAATATAGGAGCAAAGAAGACTGGCATGATGATTGGCTTCTTTTTCACCTCCCCTCTTAAGGCAAGGTTCGAGTCTCACCCTACCGTCCATGTACATTATACTCTATCCGAAAATAAAAAATAAAATAAAAAATTAAACATCACTCTCTCTCTCTCTCTCTCTCCTTTCTTGTACAAGTTTCTGTCCCTTTCCCTCTCATCAATTATTGAACCTTAAGCTAAAAAACTTAGACTTAGGATTTTACATATAAACTGCTAAGTGAATCCAAAAAGAAGGCCCTTGCATTACCTCTTACTATTGTGTTGTTGGGAAGCTTATGATTGCATGAATAAGAAAGATGTCGCGTGTGGATTTTTTTCTTTCTCCACAACATCTTATCAAGAAACGAATATATTCTTTGTACACTATATTTTGTACCTAAAGTAATTATATATATATATATATATATATATATATATATATATATATATATATATATATATATGTGTGTGTGTGTGTGTGTGTGTGTAATTATTATGTGACCCATATTCAGAAGATGATAATATGAGAGTTCAACCTTGAGTGGCTAATTGGTAAATAGATTTGACCATATCCATAAAAGAAAGGGGGGCTAAGGGCTTATCACCTGGGCCGGCTCTAACGGGCATTTTCAATTCGGGTCAACTTGATGGGAGTGCTTCTGTGGGGACCTTAAACAAGCTAGCCCATCGGGTCGAGACAACCTAAACATACAACTCATTATTTATTTTTCTATTCAAGATAATGGATCGTCAATAAGTCATCACGTGACGGGTTTGGACCGGATTAGGATCACATTGGCTACCACTTTCAAAATAGGGTTTTTTGGAAGCTGATTCACTTAATTAGACTTATTTGACAAAAAAAAAATTGAACAAAATATTTTAGAAAAAAATACATACCTAAGTTACAAAGAAATGAATGCCCTTTTTAAGGTCATTTAATTCAAAATCTCTTATTTTTAATACACTCTATTTATGTAAATTTTTTAATACATATAAATACGTATTTAATACACTTTGGTTCATGTGTATTTGTTAATATATATATATATACACACACACACTTGTTGTTAAATCTCTTATTTAAAATTTGAATTATCTTTAATACACCTTAATTTATGAATTTTTTTTTGAAAAGTGATTTTGTTTTTAAATTATATTTAATGCACCTTAATTCTAGCATTTTTTTTTAAAATTATTTTTATTTTCAAATTAATTTAATATCTGAATAATGTAATAGTATAAAATTCTTGGGGTTCAGAATTTATCGTGAATTTCAACTAAATTCGTATGCCACCCCCAAAATTACAACACTGGTGGGCCCTCCTATAATCGGTCCGAAAAATCAGTAGCTTCTTATGATAGTTTTTTCTGCATAATTTGGATTTTATTGAGTTGTTAGGGGCACTTGAAAGATAAGAACAAAGTAGGAGGGTCAGATTGAGATAAGGGACAGTACCACAGGACCAATTCAATTTGACATGACACCCACACAATTTTTGGACACTGTTTGGTTACGAGCTTGAGGTTGTACCAGTTTAATCTCCTAGAAGTTTGGACAAAAATGTTTGGTAAGACCAAGATATTTAGTGAGTGATTCTTATTGAAGAGTACAAATAGAATAGAGATTAGTTATAATTTATTTTAAGTTCAAATTACAACTTAAAAAGGTTCTAGTATAACTCAATGAGATTGAGTAAGTTAAGATAGAAAACATTGAGATCGTTTCCACAATGTTAAGATCACTGTTTCTAAATAATTTTATTTTATCTTAAACTTGTCAGATTGAGTTATCATCTCACTCTCGATATTTTTTTGATTTCGTACTCTTGCCCATACATTTTTTTTATGAAAGGTAAGAGGATTATCCACTAGGGTTGTTTCCAACTCATCTAGATTTTATCAGTAAAAGCTTCCATCTAAGAGCAAACAAAGGAAGGAACAAACAAGTCCTTGTGTGATGTTGAACTGGCGCAAGTTTGTCCAGACATTTGGGTTGGAAGAAGAGACAAAATTGTCCCTTATAGATTTTTTTATTTTTGTTGTGTCAACTATTCTCTTGAGTTTAGAAATTGGTCACTAGAGTTTGAGTGAGTTTAAAAATGTTTCTTGAAGAATAAAGGTGATTGATTCTTAAAGGGTATAAAAAGTGTTGAGTCTGATACTTTTGAATTATTAAAGGTCAGACTCAATCGCTGAACTATCACTAAAAGTTATACCTTGAGACAAAACAATGATAGCAATGTGTGAAAAATTTAGATGTGCGTTGGTAGGACCATTTCTAGTGGGCATGACATGCGACCATGGCTGTTGTTCATGCACCGTTTTGAGCCATTGTCGGTTTCGAAAGTAATTTTTGACACCACTTGAATCTAAGTTTGGTGGATTGGGATTCGATCCGATCCAATCAATTTGAATTTGTAATTTTTTTTTTTTAATACACGACAAGGTGGTTTTGGTTTTTCACTAGAGATAACTCAGGACGAGTTCTTTTTGATATCTGCTTTAGGGCTTCGACGATCCAATAGAAGAGTTCAGGGAGTAATAAGCAGGGCTCGCTGAAAGCTATGGGGCCTTAATCTGTCAAGATGTTTTAGTTGATTTGAGCTAGGCTTTGGAAATAACGGGCTGGCCTTTTTAGACCCCGGGTCAATGTTGAGCACTATCTGGTTTGGGTCTTACTGAAAGGGAATCATCCGTTTATCGCTATTATTGGACTCGAATGCAATGACCCAACAAACTCAAACACCCATTTATCATACGAACATAAATGGTAAGCCCAAACCATCTACTAAACTCCAAGAAATAATAAAACGAGCGGTAAATTGACAATTTTTTGGATCACAATATGAAGAATTTATATCTCATAAATACTTTAATACTAACATGAATAGTTTGTAATTGACCAAATTAGGAAGAAAGTTAATCGATGTGCGTGCAAATTGTCATTTGATCCTTTCGATCGATACTTGAAATTGGAACCATACTTTAAGGGTATAAATTGTAAATCGCAAAAAAATTTAAGAAATTTATTTAATGTATAATTTAATAGAGTTAACTATTTATTTAGTCATTGAATTATATATTTGTATCAATGAGACATCTAAACTATATCATTTATGTCGATGTGACCTTTTTTATTGAAATTTATAGTTAAGTTTGACGAAATTTCTCACATATACATTATATGAGTCGGAGATTATATAATTAATATATAAATAAATCGCGTTATTTATTTTTTTGATTACCTTCGCTTATACTGTATTCGTTTATTAATTGTGTTGTATCAGATTCACCCATTTTCTAAAATGAATCAATTAAAGAAGACCCACCCCTACATTAAACGTACGCAAATGATCAAAATATTGTTTTGATCACCTGAGAAACAGAAACGTTTTGAAAATAGAATAAAAAAAAATAAAAATTTTAAGAATTATTTTTTTAAAACATTGGTCGAAATATACCAAATGATCTTAAAACATTCCAAAATATTTCAAATATTATAAAAAACTTTGAAATATTAGAATTTTGATTTCATCTTTAATTTATTTTAATCTCTTTAAAAATAAAAATTTTGAACAGTTAGAAAAGTAATTGTAATAATTGAATATACGACATGTTTTTGACCAGAAACAAAAAAAAAAAAAAAAAAAAAAAAGTGGGGCGGGGGGGTTCAAATATGTAGTAAAGTACACATTTTCAAAAAAGCTATAGGGAATGAAAGTATAATTTAATAAAAAAAGAAAAAAGAAAAAAGGGGGAGAGTCGTCAAATGAAGCTTTTAGCCGCCATTAATCTTCCCCTTCTCTCTCATCCCATGTATGCACATATACACAGCTATAATAGTAACTTAGTTTGTGCCAGAATCAGACGATACACGACCATGGCGGCCTCAACCTCTGCTTACCAGAAGCTCCTAAGCGTTGGTACTAAGATCGTCGCCGTCGGCCGCAACTACGCCGCTCACGCCAAGGAACTCGGCAACGCCGTCCCCAAGGTCCTCTCTCTCTCTCTCTCTCTCTCTCTCTGTGTGTGTGTTAATCCAAAGCCTTGGAAATCCATCCTAAATTGCTTATCGTGATCAGCTGCGTTAAATCCCCAATTAGTCGGTTTTCATGTGTTATTTCGCACGCACATACACATATATGCGTATCTTGTGTTGGAATTTTATGTACATTTGTTGTTTCAGGAACCGGTGTTGTTTCTGAAGCCGACGTCGTCGTATTTGGAAAATGGAGGCACGATCGAAATTCCGCATCCCTTGGAATCGCTCGATCATGAGGTGGAGCTTGCCGTTGTGATCGGTCAAAAAGCTCGCGATGTTCCTGAGGCCACTGCTATGGATTATGTTGGAGGTTTGGTTTAGACATTGCTATAATTGCACCTCTAGAATGATCGCTTTTGATCTCGGAATTCATGTTATATTTCGTGTTTCAGGTTATGCACTTGCACTGGATATGACTGCAAGGGAAATCCAGTCTTCTGCCAAGGTGCAAACTTTCTTTGGCTTTTATCCCAATTTAATTTGTGGAATCTTATTCAAATAAATCTCCTTTAATCAGCCTGTAGTCATTGAAACAAGGTAGATTGGTAGAACTGTCGAAGTATCAATCATTAGTGTGTGAAAAGTTTTGAAAAATTGCGTTAACGTCCACAGTTTATCAGTTCAATGACTATGAATGATTCAATTGCCTTTTGGGTTGGGATATATCCATCCGGATTGTGAAATACACAATTTCTTATTGTTTGAAATGTTGTTATCTTGTTCAATGCAACGGTTGTCAAATTATTACGGTTTTAACAGTGATGTTTCCCCTTCTATATCCCAGTCTGCAGGTCTTCCATGGACTGTAGCTAAAGGACAGGATACCTTCACACCAATCAGTTCTGTTGTAAGGATTGAACTGCAAATTATTTTGTCCTCTATTTTTGCTGAGATTATTTACATTCAGATTTACTCTTAGGAGTCAAGTAGAAATCAAGTTAAGAGTGAAGGGTACATTTGGTGCACTTAGGGGCCATAATTTATGGCCAATAAATATGGAGGTGGAGTTGGTAGGAGTTGTTTAACTGACCTTACTATTTATATGGCTATGCTTTAATATGGATGGTTTCAGTGGATTCGATTGTGAGAGCAATGGTAATAGTGCAAAGGTTGGGTCAATACTCAATTCATAGTAATCTCGATTTAGGGGACCCAAACTGGATAAGGACCCTTTCATATGAATCGACTGGGTATGCGGCAGGAAATGAGGACAATGCTATCAGTTACTGAGGCTTACTGTCAGGGTTCTATTACGTATTTATTTGGCTCATTCTACTTGTGGAAATGAAGATGGTTCTTTAGGTAAGTTATACCTAAGGTATGATTATGAAATTTGCTGGAACAAATAGATCCCGGTTCGTTAGGTTGAGGGATATGAACAAATAACAACTTGAATATATATATTTTTTATGTACATCCCCTTTTCATCTGTGAGTATGCTGTCTTTTATGTACTCTCCTAACATGCCATCTTCCATCCTGAAGCTGTCCCCGGCGATGGTGCCAGACCCTCACAACTTGGAATTGTGGTTAAAGGTGTTAATTTTTCAATCTTTATCTTCCTTCTTTTGCTTTATAATCATCTTAATGCTTGTATTTTGGAGCTGATCTTTCAGGGATCTATGATTTCACAGGTGGATGGAGAAATTCGGCAACAAGGGCCAACCTGTGACATGATTTTTAAGATCCCATTTCTTATCAGCCACATAAGTTCTATCATGACGCTTCTTGAAGGAGATGTTATTCTAACAGGTAATGTGTTACTTCCCCTGCTCCTTTTGTTGAAGTTTCAGTAGTTCTGATTGTTTTGCAAATATTGTTTCCCTAGAAAAACTTCAGCACATCGAATAAAAATGTCTCCGTCGGCTGGTGGTGGTCATGTAAATATTGAAGTCTGTTAGTTTCTTTTGTGTAGATCTGTGATGATTCTTCTATTATTCCTGACATTTCAAGATTTGTTTGTTCTACTTGACACTTGATCAACAGAAGTACTCATTTTTCAAACCGCAAATCATCAATCCCTGTAATACTATGCCATAATTATTGTGTTAACACCATTTTAAAATGGCAAAATTGTACGGCTAACGGCTGTTTAAATCAAATCATTTCCGGTCAGTAGCCAAGCACTTATTATTCTGCTATTCCACTTTTGCTAATCGTAAAGGGTATTTCTCTTGAGAAGACCATGGGCCAAAATATTTGGTGCAAATGGTTACCTTAACTCTATTAACTCAAAAGGCACAGTACCAGTGTATGTAATGGCAGCATTCTTCAGTTTTTAGTTTAAACCCAGCAAAGGCAGAGTGGAATTGGGGTCAATATTGCACAAAGCACTTCCACTACTTTTCAATGCGTTCTGCTGACTTTTCTTTTTGAGCATTTGTTCAGTTGTTCACTCTTACGTCAGTTCTGGTATTGATCTGAGTGTAGAGTTATCCATCCTTCTGGGACCAAAATGAATAGAACTAGAGTCTTGGCTGACCTTGGTATTAACCCTGTTTGTGCAGGCACTCCTCAAGGTGTTGGCCCTGTTAAAACAGGTCAAAAGATAGACGCTGGTATAACAGGTCTCTTGGATGTGCATTTCAATGTTGAAAAACGCCAAAGACCCAAAAGTTGCTGAACTGACCACCTTAACTGCTTTTGTGATATTGTCAAGTGACCTTGCCTAGGACCTCTGGGTCCTACTTCTAGTCGACTCTCTGACATATTTCATCAAGCTGTCGCTCTTAGGTGCTCCAAATGAAGGTTTAATTGTTATTGTTTCTGACCTTGAACCATTCTTGTGGAGTGAAAATAAGTGGAATAATGAAAAACTCTGAAGAGCCTTGTATCTGAATCATTTACTGATCTTGAGAGAGTTTGTTGAGTGGTTAGTTAACAGGGTGATCTCAATTCTATCCAAAATGGGTATAAGACATACCAATAACTTACTTTCTTTGACCTGGTTATGGATGGAGAGTCTTGTGCACGGGATGCAATCCATATAGTTTAAACTATTTCTTCATTCCTAGTATTATTATGAAGCTGCCTGATATATTTGTTGTTCAACTACCAAATCATGATTTATTAGGAGCTCCCAACGCGAGGAACACATTGAGGATACAGGGGGTCAGTTACACGAAATCCAAAATGCTATGACAAATACATAATCTATCTCAAATACCAAACAAACAACAGATAGAGTTTTATTCAACATGCATAAGAGTACGGGGTAAATTTTGGAAAACTTTGTAACTTCTTGTTCATCAATGGCATCATGCCACTCATTATTTGCTGAGAATTGTTACAGTTCGTTGTCGATCATAATACAGCTACATGTGTAACAATCACCTCAAAGAAACGGATATGAAGAGAGGGAAAATTCAGAACTTCTGGATAAAGTCATAAATGTGCTTGTTGATCTCGTCAGGCTTCTCTTGATTGATGAAGTGGGCAGCTCCTTCGATTACTATGGCTTCCTGCAACAATGGCACATCTTTCTGGAACCTACCGTTGTGTATATATTCCTTCATGCCTGTCATATGATAGGTCAAGTCTAACTCCCCCACAATAAACTTAGTTGGTACTTTCACTTGAGCTCCAGTCCAGGGTGCAGTGAGTTCCCAGTTTCTGCAGTTAATAGATGAAGCAATTGACACTTATTTCACAAGGAAAAAGAGAGAAGAAATTGAACTTAAAAGTATACAAACGATTACAAGCAGATGGTCTCCATCGGAATGACGTGCAAAACTGAATTACAATAAACACTTAAAAGTTTTCTGGTACACAGAAAACACAGGCATGAGATCAAACTTCAACTTAGAAATAAAAGAATGCAGAGATCAATATCAAGCATTCACACAAAATTAAATACATGCCACAGGGATCCTTTGTTGTATCCTAATGGCGAAACAACTAAGTAATTCATTAGCAGATGGTAATTGGAGATTTCACAGACCCTATGCTGAATCGCTGAGTATGATCCGGCAAACTTTACTTTTCCCTCATGTGGCTAAACCTTTTTGTGCTTCGCCTTTCCTCACATCCATAAATAACCGCATGACCCTCATGTAGTTTGTGGACTAAAGTGCACCACTAATTAACTCCGTTAACAGTACGAATAAAATGACCTAACCCCACTCTCTCTCTCTCCATTAGCTCTGCCGCGAACCAATCTGGACACTGCTCTGAGGTTCAAATTCAAGCACCAAAGCTTCCGTGTCTCTAACCATGAAAGACTTCACTTCTTCTTAGATTCCTCCACTGCAACCATGATTGGATCCCATTACCCAACCTCAACTTCCTCAAGGAACCTTCTCAAACCATAACACAAACCTAGCAGAAATATCAAACTTCGAATTTTCTGAGATTATTGGGCTGAAAATACATCTTTTTCCAATAGAACTGCACAAATCTTTTCCACAACAGAGCCATAATCACCATTACACAGAGATCTCACTACCTCCATACTTTCCACCCACTCAAACTTAAATTTTCAATTGAGATTATCTAAATTAACACGCACAGTCACGCACACACTCATTGCTGCTGAAGTACTATTGATGTGAGCAGCGCCCTCTATCAGATGCCGAATTCACCAATCTTCCACCCATCAATGCTCCAAACGCTCCATCTTCAACACTAACTCAACAAATCACAGCCCAGCACCACTGAATTTGTCCATGTTAATAGGGTAAGCCACTAAATATTGAGTGTCGACATTTACTGGAGCTTTGAGTGAAATTCAAAGCCGCAATTCTACTGGAATTAGAACGACTGAGATTCGAAGCCATCACTTGTACTGAAATTTGAAGCAAGTAAAAGTAGGTTAATGGAAGTAGAAACTGAGGTGTGGATTTGATAGTCAGAAACAGTGGTTGGAGGAAGAAGATTGGTTTTTGAAGTGGCTTCTGGGTTCAGATTTTGGTTTCATCCTTGTTTTGCTTTGGATGATCCTATTCCTTCCAGTCTGAATATTGACAAATGGATTTGCTTCAGGTTTTCTTCCACTCCATTCATAGAGAGCTCTAAGACATCTGATGAGATCCTCAATGCTTCCCCAAGCTTTCCCAAAATGGGTATGGACATGAGTGTGCTGTGAATTTGTTTCTTCTGTTTTTGTTTTCTTAGATTATGTTTTTACTTTTTGAATTCATGAGAATTTATGGTGTTGATGAGTGGTGGTGGGGGATAGTGAGTGAAGGGGGGGCGGGGGTTGACGGGCAGTGTTGGTAACTTGGGTAGGCTAAAAGGGGAGATAAACGAGAAGAAGAAGCGAGAGGGTTGTTTTTGTATTCTCAAAGAAGTTCTATAGTATTTCATCATCTAAAAATGTTTTCCTGCACACCAAATCTCCAAACAAGCGCTTGGCTAAAAATTTCAATTTTAAGTAGGACATACAGTCAAATTATGTACTTTTGCTTCACAAACAAGGTGAGTTTATATGGCTATTGGGTTTCAGATATCATAAAAGTTGGAAGTGACTCACATATCAAAAGCTCGGTAGTAGTTCACTCCTCCAGTGAAGCCATTCTTCTCAAATTTGCTGGCATAATAATCAACATCTTCTTCTGACAACCAAGATGGCAAAACAATTGGAGTATTAGGTGAATCACCAACCCACCCTTTACCTCTAGGGAAATAAAATGGACCAGGAGTGCGGTAGGTAAGAAATTTCTTCACAAGTCTTTTAACACCAATCTGGGAAAACTCGGCTTCAATATCTCCAGGTTCCTGCAACATTATTAAACAACCTGTCTGTAAGATAGGTTATCAGTAAGAACTTCATGGCATCTTTTAGCGATTACTGATGAGAAATTTAAGGAGCCGTTGGCTTGCCAATTAAGTTGTGGCTGAGGTATGCACCCAGGGTAGATATAGTTGGATATCAGGAAAATAAGTTTTCTTGATTGTACACAAAATGTAATACATACGGTTAGGATCACTCGAATTATCTATTTGCTTTCTTGATTGGATGCAGGATTCCTGCATGCTGTAGATTATCACAAACTATTGGTATACTTGGTAAAACATAGTTTTATCTACACAATTACAATGAAACAAGTACAAAATATCTGTAAATTTCCCAAATTATGCAGCAATCGAATGTTTATTTCTTCCAAATTACTAATTTGATTTATTAGTTAAAGAAACAACTAAAAGCTATTACAAATTTTCTAAAACATGGCATCAATATCACAACACCAATACACACACACACACACATATATATACCTACATAAATATACATGGAGAGAGAAAGAGAGAGTAATTCAATCACAGATTCGACCATGGCTACATGTAGATCAACCAAATGTTCCACGCTTATCTACTACTCACCAAAGAAGGCGAAGTTTTGGGTGATCATAAATATCTCCAGCAATTCCATCAAGAAGGTGGTACCATGATTTGAATCCATGACGAGTGGGGTTATACTCTATCACTAACAATCAAACCTAAAATTGTCCAATAAGGCTAATTTTCCTCTTCAAAAGTGTCTCAACTTGAATTGGGGATTCAATTTCAAATACAAATTCAAGATCAAATAAAGATGGATTCACGCTAGAACGGAAATCAAAGTAAAAAACGTATGCATATATGTGATGAACAGAGAACCTGAAATCGGCAGATGTAGTGATCATCTCCGTAGAGAGCACGAAGCTTATCAACATTGTTCATCGAAGGATTCCTCGGCAAAAAAGGAATACTCAAGTTCACCAGTGCCTTGACTTTATCAGGTCTATACAAGCACAAGTACCAAGCAATGAATGCACCCCAGTCATGACCCACAACAAACACCTTGTCTTCGTTTGGTGCAACAGCATCAAGGAGTCCAACGATGTCACCCACAATGTGGAGAGTGGTGAACTTGGTGTGATCGTTAATGGGTGCACCCGTGGTGTCGCCGTAGCCGCGGAGGTCCGGAGCCACCGCTCGGTAGCCGTGAGCGGCCAAGTAGAGGATCTGGTGGCGCCATGAGTACCAGAGTTCAGGGAAGCCGTGGAGGAATAGGACTAAAGGACCTTGACCCAGTTCAGCTACGTGCATGTTTAGGCCGTTTACAGGAACCATCTTGTGCTGGATCTTCTCCATCTCTCAATCTCTCTCTACTTTCTGTCACAAGTCTACTGTGAAGTGAGAAACAAGAATGAGCGAACGTTATAATTCAAGGGGGTTGCTTAAGTGAAATTTGGAATAATCGAGGTATTGAACCAATTCTAACCGTTGACTTGGCCGGCCGGACAGTTTCTACCGGTCAAGTGAGACAAAACAATCGGCTAGGCTTTAGCGATAAAAATTAATTACACAGGAGCCCCCCTAAATTTAAGGGCAGTCTCACATAAACACCTAAAACTTTTACAAATTTTACTTTTTCCAACACTTTCGTAGGTGAGACTGATAAGACACAACACCTTTTTTCGCCCAGACTTTGTTCTAAGACGTATTTGCCCTTTTAATTTTTGTAAAATGTTATTTGAGCTTAATTTAAAATTTAATTTGGTACCTAATCAATTGTAGATGCTCAATTAAAAGTCAATTTCTTTTTTTTTGGGTTCAAGGTTAAGGGTGTCCAGACTAGTTTACACGCACTTTAACTAATATCCTCCTCGGTCTAGACAAAGACAAACTATCTATACAGAAACTAGAGTATGCATGAGGAGTAAATTTTTCTTGGTCAGACCCTAAAGAATTATTAAAATTCAAATTCAGAATGTCTGAATTTATAATTTATTCTTATTACCATTTGATGGTGTAACTCAATGTGATGTAAATTTACGGTAATTAGCAGATGGAATGATTAGTATCCGATTATTAGGATCTGAGCTATAAAGCTCGAAAGAGCAATCGATGAAAAATTGGGAGATTGACACAATAGAATTATAGTGGTTTACCAGCTCGAGAACTCAGCTAATCCACTCTTCAATGGAGATTCTTGCTCCTTTTTCAATAGGTTTACATGATAGAGTATATATTTCTCGTTCTTCCCTTTTGGAAAGTTACATAATATTTTTAAGGTTGTTCCTAGTTCTATGGGATCTACCCCGAGATCCTTGCTTTTTATCCGAGGACCTTTCCTTAATTCTAGGAGAAGATTTTGGTTGATTAAGGATTTTATGTCTTGAACATGACTCTTTGCCACTTAACAGCTTTCTGTTATTATCCAGCTGTTTCCTTATCACTTTCGCTGTTGGCGCGCCTTGGGGGGGGGGGGAGAGCTCTAGCTTTGACCTGGACTTTGCGTGTCTTTCCTGACTTCTTTTGCAGACCTACTCGTTTGACTTCCTGGTCCGACCTCATGCATGAAAATTACTCTAAGTACTATTAGTTGCCCCAGCCCTTATTCCAAGTAAACTTGAGTGGGGGTTGAGCTGAGGCTTAATCAGGCCTGACCTCCAGATGTAGACCTTGATTTGTGTGCGAACAGGTTTTTGACAGTTTCAGGCAATTATTTCACTTCCTAGTTTCCCGTGCACATTCTCTATTCTGTACCGTTAGCTTTAAATGCTTCCAAATTGAGGGGGATCGGTTCATTCTATCCTTTAAACTCCCTCTCTGTACTTTTTCCCTCTCTTCTTACTTTGACTTTCAATTTTTTGATTTCGCTAGTGCCACTAGGGTTTCACTGAGGAAACGATTTTCCCTAATCCAATCTAAGGTTTCGGCGTGATTTGCTCTTTGCCCCTAATTCTGGCTTTGGCCTTCTGTTCCTCCTCTCCTAGGTACGTTTTTTATCCTCTGTTTGACTCTTCGTTCTGGATCCCTCAGACTTGAGGTGGTTCTTGCATTTTTGGACCTTTCCATTTTTGCTATTTTAGAAACCAAGGTCGATCGTTGTCTCGAATTTCCTTTTTCTTGGACCCATATTTGACCGCTATGGTCTTCCTCATTGGGAGTTGTGTTGCTCTCCAAACCTTTAGGGAGTGTTTCGCAAATATCCCTCCTCTTTATCGCACCTTTAAACTCCCTTTTTTTTGTCCCACTATGTCTGCCTCTTCCGAAGCCACCTCTTCCTCTGTTTTCCTCTTGGGGGATAGGTCTGCTGAAGATAACTCGGATTTAGGCGAGGTAGGTGAGAAAATTGATAAATTTCCTGGTGTTGATTCTGTTGAAGTTGAGGGAAACATCGAGGAAACTCCCCTATCTGCCTCCCCAGCGCCCAAGAATTCTAATAAAGGCAAGACTAAAATAAGTGGAGTTGGTGTTTTTGGCAGTGCCGAAGGCGCAGGGGCTGCCTTTAGAGCTGTTGAGCTTGCAGGCCCCAATGAAGTTCACCCATCTCTAATGAAGGTCCTTAGTGCTCATTACAATTTTTCCCCAGGAGTTCAGTTCTGGTACTCAGATAAGTTTACCCCATATGTCTCCCAAGTTTGTTTCTTTATTGCTATCTTTGAGAACGGTCTGCGCTTTCCCTTACACCTTTTTGTCAAGAGTGTCCTTCAACATTTCAACGTCTATCAGGTCAACTGTCTCCCAACTTCTGGGGTGTCCTGGTGGGCCTCCTTGTCTTCTTCAAGCTACACTAGCTCGGTGTTCCCATTGTCTCCCTACTAATGGAACTTTTCAATGTTAAGTATATCTCTACTGATGGTTTCTTGTATGTTTCCAAACGAGTAAAGACTAAACAGATTCTTTTCGACCTCTCGAGCTCCCACAAGGGCTAGAGAAAAATCTTATTCTTTGTGTGGGGAGAACACTAGGAGTACAATTCGGCTGATAAGACAAATACTCTCCCCATTCCTAGAGCCTGCTCTGTCCCTGATAACTTGGGTACGTCCTTACTTAAACTACCCAAGCTCGGATTTGGAGAGCCCACCTGATCTTGTCCTGCATTATTTTGTTTTTTCAGGTGTTCGTCTTGAGCTCAGCATTGAGGACGAACAGGTGCTGCTGAGGTTGGAGAAGTGTAAACCAGAAAAATACTTTGAACTCATCAAGTCTTGGGTTCTAGTAAGAGAAGGGCTCAGCCTTCCAGAAGCGACAGTAGAAGCCCCCATTCCACTCTCCATTGTAAGAGCTGAGGAGGTAGTAGGTAACGTTCCTTCGCCCTTGTCTCTCTCTCTCTCTCTTTTTTTTTTTAGAACTTGCCCACTCTCTTTTCCTTCTTACTCATGTTGGTTCTTTCTTGAGTTTCCAGGCTCCTCTTTGATGGAGCCAACCGCAAAGGATCAAAATGCTAAGTTTTCTTTGATGAGAAAGAACCGAAGTGAAGGCAAACGCAAGGCTGAAGCCGGGTCAAAGAGCTCAGCCTCCAAAGTTCCAGGGCTAGAGGTGACCCCTGCTTCACCTCAAGCGACCCCGGCAGGGCATCCAACCCCCTCGGACTCTACAGTGGCTGCACAAACTTCTCTTTCCTAGGAGACCAGGTTGCCCCCTTCTAGTGGGGTCCCTAAACAAGTTCTGTCCCCAATTCCTCCCTCTTCAGCAGAGGTTGAGAGAGTCTTGGAGATGGTTTCTCGCATTTTGCCAGGAACTATTCTCCATTCTTCCTCTGAGGGACCATCTCTAAAACATTCACAGATCTGTAAGAGTGAGAAAGGAGGGAGTACTGATGCAAGCTCGAACTCTTTGATTGATAACGTGAAGCGAGCTGCTGAGGCCATTACTTTCATCATCCCCGAGTCTGACATTCAGCGGGCTTCCACTATGCCACTTGGGAGTTCCATTTCTACCGCCCTCTTTGCTGCTACTTCCGTAGGTTCAGCTGTATATGTGCGTATATGTTCCTTTTTTTTTATTTGATTATTTTGATCTGAGCTTCTTCCTGGGTTGGGATCGCTCACAGATGGCCATCCATATTAGCGGACTGTTGAAAAGGATCCAAGCTATGGAGGGTTCTGTTTAGGCTTTTAAGGCTTACGAGCTTAAGGTCGCTGAGCTGTCCTTTGAAAATAGCGACCTCAAAGCTCAGATCCAGGACTTGTAGGAGCAAATGGAGAAGCAGACTTTACTAAACAGGGATTCGGAAGCAGAGAAGGAGAAGATTGAGGGTGAAAGCAATAGTTATAAGGAAGAGGCCAGAAAAGCTAAGGATGAGCTCAAAAAAGTCTCTAGGGAGCTCAGGCAGAAAACAGATGAATGACTCAAAGTCAGTCAGGAGTCCCTAGAGACTTTGAGCTCTTACCAAACTATTAAGAGGGAATATGACCTCCTGGCTAAGACAAACGACACTCTTCGGGAAGAGCTTGAGATAGAGAGGGCAACAGATAAGGAGAAAGACAGTTTAATTGTCAAGTTAGCTGATGACATCACCACTCAGTGGGCTTCCGGGTGGCTTGCCTTCCAAGATAGGGCTGAGGAGTTCTATCCTGGACAAGATTTCAATTTTGATCCCCCCACTGAAGAGGGGACAGAGGTGGTCGATCCTGAGGTTAACACCACTCCTCCTCTTGCTTCTGAGGCTGCCCCTTTCTTTGCCGACCTCGTCTCCCAAGCTTAATGTCCCTGCCTTAGAAGCTCCTAGGGTTCCTCTTCCCTTGCCTTCTCCAGAGTTTACAGAAACTCTATCTTTCGAGCTCCCAGCCCCTTCTCTCTTAGAGCCTTCAATGGAAGATTTGCCAGCTACTTCCTCTACTGAATTTCTGGGCTCCCTTCCTGCTCCTGTTACTGAGATTTTTCCTACTGAACTGCAGAGTCCTTCAACTACTCCCCTATCAGGAACTTAGGGCTCTTAAAATGAGAAAAATTTGTAATTATGAGATGTAACTCTTTTCTGTTTTTGAATAGCACAATTAATTCACAACTCTTTTTCTCTGTATTATATTTGTACTCGTTAATTTTGCCTTTAAGTTGTGCTGTTTTTACTTTATATCCTTTCCTTGCCCTTCTTTGCTTTGAGGGGAACTGAGTTCTTCTGAAAGCAAATTTATTGGAACTTGCGAGTCTACTAGCTCCCTGAGACCCCTTCAGAGGAACGGAATTGAGGTCTGACTCTAGGAGATTACTATACTTGTGTTTGGTCGAAGAGAATGTCCAACTTGATGTTGAGGTCAGCTAGAGTCCTTCGTGGAGGGTGATATTCCTTATAGATTTGATGTAACATAGATTTAGATGTTGTTTGAGAAGTAGGGAGTTGACTTGGAAGGTCCATGCAGTCATACGACCTAAGCTTAACTCTCAGTCATCTGAAAGTAGTGAGCTGCCTTGGAAGGTTCATGTAGCCATACGAGCTACACTTAGCTCATAAATACCTTTTACTGGACTTTTACTGGACA